TTTCCATACTTGATAAGCCTTTAAAAGAGGCAGTGGAAATATAGTTCCCACCTTATTTTGAGCCTTATACCTATTCGCTTGTCTTAAAAGCGATCTACAAACCACAATCAATCAAATAAATGTTTGCCTACTGTAGGTAGGTATCATCTATGAGAATAATTAAAAGTACTACAAGAAATAAAAAAAGACCTCAACCCGGATTCGAACCCGAACGGTATTTTGTTTTTTTTTTTACAGCTAAATCATTAACTCTTTTTTTTTAATATTAGTTATGGCTTCGGCGTTCTTTTCCGACAGCCTAAAATAGTATCCAGCGAGCGGGTAGGTACAAAAAAAGGGGTTGTATTTCAACAGTCCTGAGTTATATTTTATTTCTCATTTTGCTATTCTTCGTTAAGAACGGTCTACCTATATTCCATCACATAATCACAAAGTAAAAAGTTGAGAAACAAAGAGAAAAGCTTCCGGCGTAAAAAATCCATTATTTATTGATTGGGTGTGATAGTTTAGTACTCGTTCTTGAACTTCTATTTTTGATATAGCATTATCTTAGGGATTGGATTGTGATTCTCCTATGGACTCTCCCGAAGTCTCGATGACAAACCAAAAACAGATTACGGATTTTTTGGCTAAACAGACTTATTCCAATGTCGTCGTAACCGTAAATCTGCTACATTAAAAATAAGTACTGTCATGTAAGTCATGTTGACACATTCTTGCATTCTTGTCCGGTTTTTGTTTGTGCCATTCGGCTTTATTTCGGAAATTTAGGAATTCTAATTGATTTGATTCTTAATTGTCTCGTTCATCATGGGTAAAGAAGATGTCGTAAAAAAGCGCAGGAAATTAACTTCAAATTCTTCTGCTAGTGAGAGTAGTAAACCAGGACCAACTGATGTGTATAAGGTTAGAATTTGCGATCATCAAACTGACTTTCGTTTGCTGGTTGCAGCCTTTGCTTTGATAACTAGCTTTTGCCCGCGGCTTCACCCGCGTGAACTTTAGTTTGTCACATATCGTCAAATTATCATAACACATAGGGTATGTGTTCGTTCTCCTATGGGTGCGTTCTGGCCATGTATAGAACGGAAAAACGCTGTGTTATTCTGGGCTTACAATAATACTGAAAAGTTTCATCAAAATCCGTTCAGCAGTTTTTGCGTGAAGAAGTAACAAACATCCGAACTTTCGCGTTTATAATATTAGTATGATAATCTTAGATTACAAGTTTAAACCTTTACATAATAATGCATTTCAAGTGTCTTGTTTTAGCGTGTAGTGGAATTCGAGGAAGCAGAGGCACAGTTGCGGCCTGCCGAGAAGGATGCACAGTTATTTAAAAAGATATGTCAGGAAATCAGACAAATATTTGCTGATATTGCAGAATTAAAAAATAAGGACACAGAGGAGGTAATTAGTGTAACATGCCAGATATGTACTTACTAGTGATGGGCCGACTATGGTCTTTGCCGACTAACCGACTAGCCGACTAATCGGTTTTCAAATTGCCGATTAGTCGGCCGACTAATCGGCAATGCCGATCATTCTAATACCTACTTGTCCGAAGAATAATATCTAGATTTCTCAAGGAAATAAGATTGAATATCTAGATTTCTTAAGAGATATACATATTATTATAACTTCTTGAGAAATAAGATTTATTTAATATTAGAAAAAATAAAAAGCAACATTACAATCACATAACAGTACCTAAGGTAGATGTCATAATTTTCGACGACGGAGGGGTCAGGGGAGGTGAGAATATGATCGCCTCCTGCTTGGCTGCTTGCCTCCTCAATTTTTCCCAATTTGGGAAAAATTGACAAAATGTAGTGAGAACCGCTTGTCGCGGCGCGCATCGAAAGCTGAGGGCGTGGGGGTAGGTACCCCCGCCTACATAGCACGGACTACTACCACCACCGTCGGATAGGCAGGGCCCGCCATACAGGTGGGAAATTGCCGGGACGGACTGTGATAGTTGATGGCTTTGTCCGGATTATAGTTCTTCACACTAAGGCGATCGACGGAACTCAGGGGTTATATGTGGGTATTCCTCATCCCTCCGATGAGAGGAGCCCCACATAATCTACCACTTTCCCGCAGAGTAGGTATGCAATTCCTTGCATTTTTTCCCCGAAAAAAAAGTGTCATAATTTTTCTATGGACAAATTGCATAAACTTTACACATTTGTGATGATTTCCTGGTATTTTTAACATCATAACTTTGTATGAATTTAAGAAAGAAAGTTAAATAAAGAAAGAAAATATTTTATTTGGCCCAACATATTCTATGTATTATAACAGTGTACAGTTTACAATACTTGCACATTTGTGGACCAAAATGGCATCCGCTCAGCATTGTGTCCTGCTCTGAGGTAGACCCCAGAACAGGACGCTGTTATTCTGCGGACATTTACATTTAGACTGATTGCCAAAATTTTAAATCAGGTGAAATCACTTTTGACTGATTTTTGCAGTCAAAAGTGGTTTCGATAAACGCCCTTGGTCTACCTGATAATCATCTTGGTGATTATGAGATTTATTACATTCACATATTTAATTTTGTAATGCGCCGATTATAATCGGCATATTTTGCCGAATAGTCGTCACTAGTCGGCCGACTACAAATGATGCCGAATAGTCGGCTTTCCCGACTAGTCGGCGACTAGTCGGCCCATCTCTAGTACTTACCTATTAATTTGTTGTTTTTTTTATGTAATCTTGTTTTGTTTCATTTAAGGCTAAGGAAAAAATCAATATCAAGCGAGTCGAAGCCTCATTGCATTTGGTTGCTCTGAAGAAATTAAATCGCTTGGAAAAAGTTCGGACAAGAGCAGGCCGTGATGCATTACACAAAGAAAAGCAAAGAGTGGATTCTACACACCTTCATTTGCAGAACCTCTTGTATGAAGCTGACCACCTCAATAAAGAAGTCACTAAATGTCTCCAATTTAAATCAAAAGATGAAGAAATAGAACTTGTGCCACTTGAAGATTTTTACAAGGATGCTCCAGCTGAAGTATCTCGCCCTGTAAGGTTATTTTGACCACAAGATTGTAATTTTTGTTATGGTGACTCTGGTAATAAATTTTTATCATGATTTCTTACAGGAGATTACAAAATCAGATGAACATCAACTCCAGCTCGCAAGACTTGAATGGGAACTGCGTCAGCGCCGTGAGCTGTCTGGTGCATGCAGTGAGCTTGTTGCATCTAAAGAAAGAGTTGCAGCTGCCATTGCTGCTGCACGATCCAGGCTTGATGCTCTATCGCCTCATCTTCGAGATGTACTCAAAGCAACCAAGCCACTGCAAGAGTGTTTAGCTCTCAGATTAGATGAGAAAAGGGATGAAGCTAGATTAGCCTCCTTACTTCCGCCTCCATTATTTTTACTGTATGCCAATTCTAGTGCATATTCTGATGCCCTTGGCGCCAAAACAGTTACAGTTGGTAAGTAAGTTAAAATTGAAAATTTAAGCCCAATATTAGAGCCATTGCACATTATATTTAACATGAGAATTTGTTTCTAATTTTCAGCTATTACTGGAGATGAAGATGAAGCAAGAAGATTGGAACAGCAAAATAATGTTGATAGCGAATTAGTTGCGTCTAATGATTCTGACTCAGACCAAGAGAATAATGATGAAGATCAAAGAGAGAAAAAGAAGCGTCATCACAGGTCTTCAAAAATATCCAAAGAAGAGAAGGCAGAAGCTAAAAAGAAAGAAATATTTAGAAGACATCCATTGCATGTGCAAGTATCAGTTATTGTGCAAGATGGCACAGCTTTGAACTTAATATTCTCACACCTTTTAAATTTGAAAATTATTGTAGTGAAGTTTACAGTTACTCTCTCAAAACCAGTTACTGGTGTATCTGCTGCTGATGTTTTGAACGGACATTGTATTTTAAATGAACTCTATCCATCCGACACTGGTGACGATTCTCCACATCCAGCAACTGCATATCTCCTCAAAGCTGCTGGAATAACTGAAGAATTTCAGTATTTCATTCCAGAAGTTGGGCGTCCATACATATGGGCGCAGAGAATGTGTGGTTTGGATTTTATGGCTACCTTAACAGATGATCAAAAAAGCATGAAAGTTGTACAACCTTGTCCTTCTTTGAGTGTAACTACTGTTGAAAACTTCATTTTGACATTGAAGAAACGGTTGAAATCTAGAGTGGAACTAATGAAAGAGTTGCAAGACCTAGAATCTGGTAAGATATTGCCTTCTAAAGGAACCTCTTGGCCTATAAGGTTATCTGGATCATTAACACAATGGCAATCTGTAGGGTGGCCAGAATACACTCAATCGCCATCTACTGCATTTTTAATTTCTGAGGGTTTAGTAAACAGCAATGATATGCTTTACAGAGCAATAATCACAAGACAGTCTGCCAAATTAGTAGCATTAGTTGCACTGAGAAGTGATTATCCAAAGAAAGCTCCCATTTTTTCACTAACTCTTCATTGGAATGGCACTCACCATGCTGGAATTAATGACGATATAAGAGACATTGAAAGAGTGATAAACACAGATTGGGGAACTAAAGATGAAAAACTGCATACTTTATCTACACAGATGACCAAACTGTTGACGTACCTTGATATTTTACTGGAAACTACAGGCTCATCAGAATTTCCACCTGACAAAGTGATGTTTAACCCAGTAAGAGGTAGAAATAGAGTTAAGCCATATAAGTATGTAAACCAAGGGACTGGTGTGTTTGTTCAGTTTTAAATAAAACTTGAAGTCCTGATTTGTCGTGTTTTTTTGCATCTACTATGCACCTAGTAACCAATTATGTTTTGCAATATTAGAAAATTTAAATAATATGCCAATTTCATGATGTTAAAAATAAGTATTTATTAAACAAAACAAAAAATTTATAATACAACAGTCTTTATTCTTATTTCAATAAAGCATTGGACATTATTTAAGGGGGTGGAAATACATAATAATAATCACAATTTGTCAAAATGAGAAAATAATGACTTGAGGAGGACAAGTAATATTAATAATACACACGGTCAGTTTTTTCGTAATAATTCTGCTTATGTCTAAAAAATGCTCTTTGTTATGTTATTGGTCGTTAATGAGATCTCTATAGCATAACTTCATAATTTTCATTTCACATAATCCACTACAGATAGTAATAATAAAATGGTTAATTTACCTATGAGACTTATTTGGAAACAATACTACCATTCTACATTTTTTTTATTTTTTTGTTGGTATGTTTTATTTCTAACATGATGACTGAAAAGATATATTTTACAAGATACTGAAAATTTGTTGTACAAGGCCTAACTTCCAAATAGATACTTGTACTACATTTCAAACCTTATAAATACATACAACCATTTATTCAATAGGGATGCAAGACACACATCTAGTCTATATTGTAATAATTTCGAAGCGATTACTGAATCTTCCGCAGCGTTAAAATGTTTATCTAGTTGACTAATATTCTACAACTTACATGAACTGTTTGCACTGTACTGCACATAAAAAAATATAATTCACTATTGCAATCTCTGGTAATCTTCATTCATTTCTAAACAATTTGTATACAATGATTTATTAATTGATATAATTCACTTACTCCTTTTATACATTTTTTATAATATTATATTGTCCCTCACTGATTCAGTTTTTGAGAACAAAATAAAATCACTTCTCATATTGCGTGAGTGTGCTTAAGTCTATGTGGCTGGCTGTGTATTGCATTATGAGATCCCGGCCTCGAGCTTCACATCCATGATTTTGCGCGGCCCCTTGAGGCAATTGAGCCGCCTTTGTACTGCGTCTCGATCTGGAAACAAATTAAACGTAAACTGATATATCAGCATAATAAGTAATAAAAAATGTCAGAGTAATGCAACAAAAGAAATGTTCCTGACGCCCGTAATAGTAAAGTTACTGATAGGGAATTTATCCAGATCAAAACCAAGTAGTCGTCGAGACGTAAACGCGTGGGGTGAAAGGTGATCGAGTTTCTTATGCTGCTTTTCAACACTGAAACTTACTGACTTCTATTTATTGTTCTACTAGCTTTTGCCCACGGCTTCACCCGCGTGAAATTACGTTTGTCACAGATCGTCATAAATTATAGCCTATATGTTATTTTGGGTTATAAACAATAATACCTTAGTCATCAAAATCCGTTCAGTAGTTTTTGCGTGAAAGAGTAACAAACATCCAGGGGACATCCAAACTTTCGCATTTATAATATTAGTAGGATTGGATTGATGCAGTGGCAGGGTTAAAGTTACACTGGGATGGGTCTATTTGCAGTGTATCATCATCATCATCATCATCATTTCAGCCATAGGACGTCCACTGCTGAACATAGGACTCCCCCAACGCTTTCCATGTTGATCGATTGGTAGCGGTCTGCGTCCAGCGCTTCCCTGCTACCTTTACGATGTCGCCGGTCCACCTAGTAGGAGGTCTGCCCACGCTACGTCTTCCAGCCCGTGGTCGCCACTCGAGAACTTTCCTGCCCCAACGGCCATCGTCTCTACGAGTTATGTGCCCCGCCCACTGCCACTTGATTTTAGCAATTCTGCGAGCGATGTCGGTTACTTTGGTTCTCGAGCCTTCTTATGAGGCCCATAGTAAGCGACCACGTCTCAGATCCGTATACCATCACTGGCAACACACATTGGAAGCAAATAAATGATTGAATTTGAAAAAGTATGAAACAATGACTTACACTTGGAGAGCGTGGTGCGGTGGTGCGGGTGCAGCGGGTGGCGCTGCACCAGCGAGTGCAGCAGCACCTGCGCCGACACGTAGCGCCGCTCGCACTCCTTCACGTCGCCGAACAGCTCCTCGATGGCCGCCATCTGACACTGCGCACAGGGAAGAAGACAAGAACGTTACAACCACTTCGCTTCTTCATGAGCACAACATTAGGATTGTAAGGCCCGCCCAGTGGTGGCGTAGCACGGGTTGGTACCCGGGGCGGATCACCAACCCCCCCCCCCCCCCCCCCCCCCCNATCATGACATAAGACCGCAGACTTGCCATGCAGATGTGCCAGTGAGTACTAATCTGCGCGACTTGTGTCACCCCCTGATGCTTGGCACCCGGGGCGGACCGCCCCCACCGCCACCCCCCTTACGCCGCTACTGGGCCCGCCATACATGGGCAGCTCGAGCAGTTAGCCAATGATAAACATAAACGAACCGCTCGAGCAGTTGCAACTGATTCGAGCGGTTCGTGTATGTGCGTCCATAGAACTCTGCAGTTCACTGTGCAGTCGCAGCTTGAAGCTGTCGACCTTGACTGCTTCAAGCGGTCCGTGTATTGTCGGCCTAAGAGATATAGGACTCTAATGCCCGTTTTCACCATCAATCCCTAATTTTTAAGTGTCCCCTATGGTAACACACGGAGAGTTGTATCCGCCTCTACAATCGATGTGAACAACGCCTCAAAGTGACCACGACCGCTCTGCCAAGAGCGTAACGAATAAGAAGAAGATGGTAACACATAACAGGCATTTTGTTTTCATAGGGGTCACTTAAAAATTAGGGATTGATGGTGAAAACGGGCATGACACAGTTAAATCGGACGGATAGCTCTAACGTGTCCTTTTATAGGTTTTCATAATGAAATTTCAGACAGTCTAGGTGAAAACCCTAATAGCAGGATAAACGGCCGTAGGCGTCTGACATAATTGGACCGACACGATGGCTTTAAAATGTCCTTTTGACGTGTTTCAGCACGAAATCTCATCTTTTTAAGACAACGAAGTGAACCCAACTCTGATGCGGGTGTTTAAAACAGATAGACAATTTCACAAGTTGAGTTATTATTTATTGATCTGGAAATTATTTAACGGAAAAGCTATTTGCAACTCTGGAAGTGGATCTTATCAACTTATCACACTGTTATTTTATGTATAATTTGCACAAATCTTACCAGTTCAATGGCGTGCTCGTAAAGAATTTTATCACAGACGGCAGGGGTGACGCCCGCTTCATGGAGCCTTCTCGATTCGTTGACGATGCATTTGTATTTGCCGTTCATCACTGACACAACTGCAAATAAAAAGAAACATTCATTCATACATAACAGCACAGTATCTAGATGTTAAAAAGTTATATTATTGTCAATAATATAACTTTTTACAACGACAGTCATAAGAATTTGTGAGTTTAATGAATCGATTCTGAAACATCCAAGTGACAAAAGCCAGAACTAATAAACCCTGAATAGATAGTAGCGTCCTTCTGTAAATGTCTTAATTATATGGTTGTCCCCTCCTGACAATGTCATAGCTGGGACGGTTCAGTGTTGTACAACTGTAAGTTGGTGATTGAGTGAGTGGGTGAGTGATTATGGGCCCTCGCCAACGGCGACTTTTTGTAGCGGTGCAGTCGCGCTGCTGTAGCGCGTTAGTATCGCGTTGGCATCACTTCTGTAGTGCGTTGCAAATGCGACTAACGCGCGTTAGTAGCCGTGGGCGAGGGCCCTAAGTAATTGAGTGAAGGAGATTAGTGATTAACTGCACCAGCAGCCCCAGCCTGGATCCCTATGCTACTGACCGTTGCGCACTTGCGGCGTGGGCTGCAGCGTGCGGCTGCGGTAGTGCGCGGCGGCGAGGCGCAGGCCGGCCGCCAGCGCCTGCATGGCCTGCACCAGCAGTCCCAGCCTGGATCCCTATGCTACTGACCGTTGCGCACTTGCGGCGTGGGCTGCAGCGTGCGGCTGCGGTAGTGCGCGCGCCTGCATGGCCTGCACCAGCAGCCCCAGCCTGGATCCCTATGCTACTGACCGTTGCGCACTTGCGGCGTGGGCTGCAGCGTGCGGCTGCGGTAGTGCGCGCGCCTGCATGGCCTGCACCAGCAGCCCCAGCCTGGATCCCTATGCTACTGACCGTTGCGCACTTGCGGCGTGGGCTGCAGCGTGCGGCTGCGGTAGTGCGCGCGCCTGCATGGCCTGCACCAGCAGCCCCAGCCTGGATCCCTATGCTACTGACCGTTGCGCACTTGCGGCGTGGGCTGCAGCGTGCGGCTGCGGTAGTGCGCGCGCCTGCATGGCCTGCACCAGCAGCCCCAGCCTGGATCCCTATGCTACTGACCGTTGCGCACTTGCGGCGTGGGCTGCAGCGTGCGGCTGCGGTAGTGCGCGCGCCTGCATGGCCTGCACCAGCAGCCCCAGCCTGGATCCCTATGCTACTGACCGTTGCGCACTTGCGGCGTGGGCTGCAGCGTGCGGCTGCGGTAGTGCGCGCGCCTGCATGGCCTGCACCAGCAGCCCCAGCCTGGATCCCTATGCTACTGACCGTTGCGCACTTGCGGCGTGGGCTGCAGCGTGCGGCTGCGGTAGTGCGCGCGCCTGCATGGCCTGCACCAGCAGCCCCAGCCTGGATCCCTATGCTACTGACCGTTGCGCACTTGCGGCGTGGGCTGCAGCGTGCGGCTGCGGTAGTGCGCGCGCCTGCATGGCCTGCACCAGCAGCCCCAGCCTGGATCCCTATGCTACTGACCGTTGCGCACTTGCGGCGTGGGCTGCAGCGTGCGGCTGCGGTAGTGCGCGGCGGCGAGGCGCAGTCCGGCCGCCAGCGCCTGCATGGCCTGCACCAGCAGCCCCAGGCGAACGCTCTCGTTGCAGCGCTCTGCAGTAACACATAAATAAAAATAAAATACTTTGGACATTTTATAACGCAATATCTAGGATCTGATGTATGCTGCTGACAACGCCACTCTGGTGGCGGAGTTTTGGGCTGACACTGTGTAGGTTTGATTTCGACACGAAAAGAAGAAAAATAAAACTTATCTGATGGGTACTAGGATATACACTCGACATCAAATAAATCGCACCTCCCGCGACAAGCATTTTCAAACGTATGCTTCCCCACTTCCCACCAATATTGGCACCATTTGAAAGGCTAGTTCTAACCTTCATTTCATTAAAGGAAAGGTTTTTACCCCAAAAATGTGTCTTTAGAAGGATCCAGAGTCACTTCTTCAAAAAATAGGTAGTTACGCTACGTAGAGCCAACTTTTATGGCTATAAAACTGTTAAGTTGGGATTAATCGCTATCCATCTGTTAAAGAGGACACGTGAGATCATTATTTGGTTTTATAACCATAAAAATTGGTCTAAATGATCCCATAGGTGGGCCCAAAGTAAGGTATTTTTTCAAGTCACATTTATGGTATATGTTAATCATTTATTAAGAAATTAAATGTGTTTTTCTTTAAGGATATTTATTGGGCTTTCAAATGACACCAATATTGTTGGGGCACCATGATTGTGTCAGAAGAAAATCGTTAAAGTTCGCGTCGCGGAAGGTGCGGTTTATTTGATGTTGAGTATAGTAGCTAGTAGTGCGTACAAATTATAAATAGACAGAAAACACTTCAAACAACACTGTATCTTCAACTTGGTACATTTAATAACTCTACCTTTCTTTGTGTAGAAAACATATAGGTCATAAGACTGGAGTGCCGAAAGTTTTCCCATACTAAGGCTTGATTTCCTTTTAGGCTGACATCGGTGACCGACGTCAGCGGCGCGCACGATTACACACTAGTTCTATGTAATCATCTGCCGCTGACGACGGCGTTGCAGTGCGGTGATTCATAGAACATTGTGTTTATTCATACCCTCGACCGATGTACGCGACCGACGTCAGCGTAGGAGGAAATCAAGCCTAAGAGTAGGCGCACACCATTGATTTTTAGTTGGCCGATAGTTGTGCCCGATTTTAATTTGTATGAAGAATCGGCCAAATCGAATCGGCGTAGTGTGCGCACTCCCATACTGATCCACTGTCCGACTAAACTATCGGCCGTCGAAAAATCAACGGTGTGCGCCTACTCTTACTACCCACGCTCTATTTGCAGTCATTTCCATGGCGCAATGGATGCTAGTTTCATAATAGTATTCGTTCAATATAATGATGGCGTAAAACTAAACATCAGCATAAACAGCGACTTTGACGTAAGAACGCGCTGGGCGAGGGCGGACGGCAATTTGGCAAGCTCTTTATTTGTAAGTTTTTTCAGTTACCGCTTTATAAGTCGATAACGTAGTGGTGACAGTCAATCATCGTGCTAGTCTTTAGTGCGTCATTTCAAGAATGATGATATGTGTGCCGCCCATACTAATGTCACAAAGATTTTTTTTTTCAATATGCTTTCAAATGGACCTTAGTAATGTTTCATGGAGCTTTAAGACACCACCACTCGGTGCACAATGACGTGAATGAATGACTAGGAATTGTATTAAACGCATACGATTCTGTCGCGGTCTAACCCTTAATCGGATAAGCTAGTTAAAATATTTTATTGTTTTTGAACTTTAGCACGAGGCAACAAAGTTCAAAATAATATGGTTATGTATTATGGTACTGTAAAATTACCATTGAGCGATTGAGGGTTAATATGTAACATGAATGGTATGTAATATGCTCATTGCTCATGTTAGCGAAGAATATCCTACTAACTAATTTTATAAATGCGAAAGTTTGGATTGTGATGTTTTTCCTCTTTCACGCAAAAACTACTGAACGGATTTTGATGAAACTTTACAGTATTATTGTTTATAACCTAGAATAACGTATAGGCTATAATTCATGACGATCTGTGACAAACTAAATATCACGCGGGTGAAGCCGCGGGCAAAAGCTAGTTGTGTTCGTTCGTTCGTTTCAGCCGAAAGACGTCCACTGCTGGACAAAGGCCTCCCCCAAGGATTTCCACAAAGACCCTGCGCCGCTCGCATCCAGGTGTGTAATCTATACTTATAATAAATCTGTAGAGAGGTCAATTCTGTACATGAAATATATTTTCAAAATAACTATCAGGGGGTGATTAGTGATCGATACTGATGCCAAAAATGCAATCAGTAAAATTTTTGTCTGTCTGTCTGTCTGTCTGTCCGTCTGTATGTTCCTTATAGAAACAAAAACTACTCGACGGATTTTAACGAAACTTGGTACAATTATTCTTCATACTCCTGGGCAGGTTATAGGATACTTAGGAATTCCCACGGGAACGGGCATTAGCGGGAAAATCCTTTTGTATGAAAAATCTAAACCGCTTAAGTTAGACGCTTGAAATTTGTCATGCAGGTACCTTAGTAAACTTAAAGCTTAGTTACAACAGGATATTGCAAAATTCCCACGGGAACGGGGGTTAGCGGGAAAAAACATTTGTATTAAAAAATCTAAATCGCGTAAGATAGATGAAGGGGGTAAAACGGGATCCATGCGTACGAAGTCGCGGGCGGCCGCTAGTAGTACATAATATGCTGACCGTCGGAGGCGTCCATGAGCGCGGCGATGGGCGCGCCGCACGACACGGCCAGGTCGGCCAGCAGCTCGGCCAGCATCAGCACGAAGTTCAGCTGCGAGAACACCTTGCTGTGCTCCTCCTGCGACATGAAACACTTTGTAGCATTTCATCAAGAGATAACAACAATTATTTTTACTAATTAATCACATGTAAAGAGTATCTTGATACATGCGTCTTACGTTGTTACTGAATTACGCAACAGAGATTGCAGGGCTTTAGATAAATGTAAACCACGCATAATCACAAGTGTTCTGGGTGGCATGTCAGTGACAAACGGCGGCAAGCGCCCCGATTGCGCTAATTTGTAATGTCTCCAATTCGATTGCGTTTCATCTCCTGTGTACATTCCAGTCACACTCCATTTTCATTTCAGCTAATGTGAAATTCGGAATCGCGGTAAAATTCACGCGTAAACAAAGACTAAATAATGTATTTAATCACTTTTCATTAAAATTCCGAGCACCTTAGTTTTAAACTACGGTGTAGCTACTACTTTTTCTTACATGCAAGTCAAACGTGTCACGAACATTTGCTGTACTAACACAGTAAAATTCGTTTGAACTAGCTGTCAAAATGACACCGTGATACAGATTAAAATTTGTCATAACAGTTGATGTTCGTTCGTCATCCAGTCGCATTGCAGTTGAAAATATTGAATGCAATCGGGGCCCAGGAATATAAGCGCCAGCATTGTTACTTTCAACCAGGGTTCGAAAATATCCGATATTTATCAGAAATATCATTATTATATAATTATATCGTATATCATAAGGATATGTTCGAACCCTGCTTTGAACATGAGTACTCACCGCCAGGATGGTCTCCTCCTGCAGGTTGGGGATGTAGACGGGCGGCTCTGGCTGGTGCAGCTTGAGGCCGCGCAGCAGCGCGTCGGGCAGCGCCACGCCGCGCTTGGGCGAGCCGCCGCCGCCCGCGCCCTCGCTGCTGGCCTTCAGCGTCAGCGACACTGGCGGCGAGGAGCCTACGCGTCAATGCGACCCTTCAGTTGTACGCACATAGGGTACGTTTTCGTGTGATGGGAGCTTCAGCGTTACCGAGCGTGATGGTTTTTCTTTTGAGGAGCCTACGCGTCAATGCGACCCTTCAGTTGTACGCACATAGGGTACGTTTTCGTGTGATGGGAGCTTCAGCGTCAGCGAGCGCGATGGTTTTTCTTTTGAGGAGCCTACGCGTCAATGCGACCCTTCAGTTGTACGCACATAGGGTACGTTTTCGTGTGATGAGAGCTTTAGCGTCAGCGAGCGCGATGGCTTTTTTGCCTTTGCGCACTAGAGCGTGGTTAATGACCTCATTGAAAGTCGAGTTTATTTATATTTTTAGTTAGATTAAACAAAACACAATCTGAGCACCTAATGGGCGGTAAGTAGCAGAGCATAAGCCGCATACAATATTATCTGAGTTTCGGAACCTTTGTCTTGTTAATAATTAATTTTAAAGTTGTATCAAGGTCGAACCATCTAAATATGTGTGAACTTGAAATGTGCTTGTTGTACACATGAATGAGTCCGATGCTCCAATGACAAATTTGGCATCACTCCCATAGACTATATTCGGATTATACATCCGTGCGAAAACGTACCCAAAGTGCGGCTGGCTAAAAGTTCGTTTAAACTAACAACAGTCACAGCGCTGAATGAATTGTTGTAGATATGGATTAATTAAAACTGTTAATAAAAAGCAAGTCTCAGTGACTTCGCTGGTTATAAAGACTATTTTAGTTTTTACAAAAGATTAATATCGAACCAACTTTTCAAACGCGAATAGGAAATTAATTGAGCGTGTTGCTGTCGCTAATTAACATAATAACTATTTAGTAGATTACAAAGATATTAAACAATATTCGAGAAATAACAGGTCAATTTCAATGTAAATGATAACAAGTGATGGGATTATCACTTGTTATGATTTACATCATAGTTATTTTAGAAAATAAATTAATGTTTTTTTTACATATAAATAAAATGTATTCACGTCCATCTTTTCATTGAAACGAAAAATTCAAGCAGGTCAGGCCCGCATGTGTATACTTTAGAAGGGTTCAATAGTGAGATCGATACCAGATTTGAAAATCGAGTGTGTAAAGCAGGAGCTTCATAGTGAGATCGATCCCAGCTATGAAGCCAGCGTGAGTAAAATCTATCTAGCTATCCTAAGCGCTCTTACGCACTAGCAGTTAACCGCGCGGCTAGCCACTTTTCCAGTTTAATATGAAATTTTGTGGCGGTTTAGTGCGTACAATCAGGGCCGGATCGTGAATTTGTGGGGCCCTGGGCTGAAACTTCTTATGACGTTGTCACGTAAAAATATCGTCCGTAAACCGACTTTACAGACAACTTTTTTTTTTTTAATTATGGCCTACTTTTTAGCGTGATCTGGGGGCCCCTTGTAACCCCGGGGCCCTGGGCTACAGCCCAATCAGCCCATAGGTAGATCCGGCCCTGCGTATCATAAGCGGTTGCATATTTAACTGGAAAAGCGGCTAGTAGTGCGTTTGTAGCCTATGTATCTTCTTAGTGAGACTAACCTGATCGTCGCAGCGGGCTGGCGTTGGTGGGCGACACCTGCCACAAGGAAGGTGGCGGTGAGCTGCCCGAGTTGCTGCTGCGGCGGCGGGAGGAGCGCGGCGTGCCCATTGTGAACGGCACCTGTGTACCGACGCAACCATTAGCTTGGGCCATGTTGGGGCGAGAAGAACTAATGTCTAGACAATGATATTATATAGAAACAAAAGCAGATATGTTATAAGCGCTCGCGCTGTGAATACTCAAATACGTCCCAATTGAGACGTCTTGTGTTTAGTCTTCGAGTGGCCTGCGTCGTGCGCAATCGCGTGCGTACCACACCGTAAGTTCCTGTTCTTACCAAAATAAATAAAAAATGCCATCGTGTGTGTTTCGAAAGTGTACCAATTATGACTCTAAAGTAAACAAAATACAAGGGATCTCTTACCACATGTGATTATGCAAAATTATTTAGTATTTATGTTTTCAATTATTTATGCAAACAATCAAGACGCCATGCGCCATGTTCAAATTAAGAAAGAGAAAGCGATCTTGTTTTGACGTTAGAGCGATAAGGATGCGTGCGCTGCGGACATAGATTAGTTAGTGCAGAATCGTTAAAACTATAGCTATCTCTTTCATTTGCGTGCTATTTCGTATCTTTTGTTTCACTTATCAGTTACATTTGTCAATGTGTGCGATTTGGAATAGCTCGGCACGGATTCAAATCGTAATTTCTAGGAACGTAACATATCTATAGTTCTTTAATATCATTGTGTCTAGAACAGTGTTTTTCAACCTTTTTCATGACGCGACCCCCCTTCATGATTTTATCATGAAAAAAATTTTTGCGACCCCCCGACCGTTCGCTTTTTATCATGATTTTTACGAAGATGTTGTAGGGACCGAATTCTTCAATCTATACAACATTTATGCATTTGCATAATTAGATTTCGGATAAATCTAGCTTTAAAACTTTACTGTTTTTTTTACTGAGATAGTTTTTACGACCTCTCGCGACCCTCCTAAAGAGGCGAGAGGACCCACAGGTTGAAAAACACTGGTCTAGGATAATCACTCGCTATTCCGTGTCAAAATCAAAAATATTTTCAATTTTGACCACTGGTGGCACTTATGAAATGTCATTGGGTATGGATCACACAGGCTTGTAGTGAGTAGTCTCTGCCCTTTTGACCATTTCGGCCATTGGGTATACAACTTCATACATTTCCCGACGGTAAAAAGACTCCTAAATAAGCTGTTAAGAATAAAAATTGTGCAAAGTGCGAGAGTCTACCGTTTACATGAAATATCATCAAATCAGGTACTAATTTAAAAAAAATTGTCGTTGACTATAATTCAATTTGAGTGTTACTACATCTCGCTATTGTAAATAAATAAATACATTTATTTATTTGCACAGAAACATGGTACAATATTGATGTCAGATAAAAACAATCAGGTTTTACATGTTACGACGTTATCGACGTTTCGATGAATCGAATAAGTGCGCGAGGTTCGTTTTACGCTACTTTTCTGCTCTGTTGGTATCTGCAACATAGCGTAAGCGTATTTGCCTCTGGTTCACAGCCTTCGTGAGTATGGCTTAGCCTTTAACAAATTTTCAGCCGAAAGACTTGAACCGGAGCTCACGACGGTCGACTTTTATAACGTTGCGGTATAACCGGCTCTGTGCCTAATACATTGTTTATGCCTCTTGTTCGTATTATTTAACTCGAAATTCGCTAAGCCATTAGGCTTAATTAAAATTGAATTCTCATTAAGTCGAAAATGAAGTTCTATGCTATGTAATTTAATAATGTTAGTATCAAATACTCGAGTCACGCGCTACATGTTAAATGAAAATAAAATCAATTTTAATTCATTTACTGCCTAGAAAGTCAAGATAATGATTGTGATAAAGCAAAATTATTAAACCTTGAGAAACATTAGTACAAGATATTGCATTGAAACGAATATTTATATAAGACATTATGTATAACTTTGATAAAATGGATTTGTACATAAAATATGTTCGGGCATTTTACGTCAGCATCGTTAAATAATTTCTGAAGTTTTATCGGCGGAAATCTATCGCCAAGTATTTGTTATCAGTGACTTCTTTGCTTTATGTTTTAGTTTGATGTCATTAATTTGTTTATGAATGAATCCATGAATGGAGTAGTGGTGTTACTCACAGGTGGTGAGAGTGATCCAATGTTGGTCGCGTTGCGACTGTTCGTTCGGACGTCGATGGGCTGAGATCGCGGCACAGTGTTATTGGATACCATGTTGATGGGATTCTGCGAACAATTAGTTTAGTCACTAAATGTTACACACTGTGAGCGTTGCTAATGAACGAAACAAAGATACAACAGGCGGTGAATAATTAATTTTATTATTACACATTGGTTGTGAATTAAGTTGGTATAATTTTGATTAACATTAAGTTATACATGATAATATTGTGCCGAACATTCACAATAAAACATAAAACTGATTTTAATAAAGCTTGTGAAAAAAGCATGTAAAATATTGGCTACTGTTACAAATAAATTAATTTACAACTGTGTTACAAATTGGTGAAGTAGAAGCATATATTCTAAGCGTATTATTTACATAATGTATTTGTAATGATAGTTGAAATCACAAGTCAAAGATAAAAAAAAAATATCCTTGGACATTTTACACTGCGCAATCTAGTCCCAAACTTGTACTATGGATACCAGACAACGGAAATAAATAAACATACCTAAATACTTTTTTGGATTATGTTTAGCTTGACACTGGCCATTGGCAACGTGCAAACCTTAAAGAAAAAAAAATCTCGCCTCACCCGAAACTGCAAGGCCGTGTTGTCCATGGCGGGCGGCGCGGGCTGCGTCGCGGCCGGCGGCGGCGCGGGCGCGGCGGCCAGCGCCAGCGAGCGCGGGCGCGGCGCCGCCTCGGAGCCCGACGACGCGCCCGAGCACTCGGCCGAGCCGCTGCCCATCGCGTCCACCATCACGAAACCGCCCAGCTCTTCGTCAGCCCATGTCGTGCCCGACGACTCGGCTGCGGGTGAGGTAAAGTGTAATGAGGGCTATCGTTTTCAACCGACTTCAAAAAAGGAGGAGGTTCTCAATTCGACCCGTATGTTTTTTTTTTCTATGTTTGTTACGCGATAACTCCGCCAATTATGAACCGATTTGAACAAATCTTTTTTCGGCGTATAGGTAATACCTCAAGGGTGGTCCCATTTAAATTTAATAATAGAAAAAACAACCCCCAACGGTGGAAAATTGGGGATGAACTCTTTTAGACGCAATATCTCCGCCGATTATAAATCAATTTGAACGATTATTTTTTTGTTGAATAGGTATTATCAAAAGGGTGGTTTCATGCGAATTTGAAGAAAATATTTCACCCCCAAGGGTGGAAAATTGGGGATGAATTTTTTATACGCAATATTTTTAATTTTTAGTTTTTTTTTGTGTTCACGCATTTGAAGTCAGTTTTATTTTAAAAAAAAGTTAATTATTATACTTAACAGTTGGCACCCCTGGCGATTGACAGGACCTTACTCTACAGTGGCGCCATCTTGATGAGTGCAAATGCGATAGTCCTCGATTTGGTGCCACTGTCTTCGCTACTAGCAAGTGACAGGACCTTACTCTACAGTGGCGCTAACTGGTGAGCGCTAAAACGATAGCCCTCATTGAGATTCTTCTGACGTCAGTTCTCAGGGGGGGAGTAGTGGTAGGTTATAATCACCGACAAGGAGNTGTTTCGAAATTGACGTCATTCTTATTTATTTATTTATAGTTTATTGTTCACGTACAAAAAGATTATTTCTAAAAAGAAATTTCTTCCAGCACACCTAGTAAGTGAGACTGCAAATGTGAGAGGCGGCTAAGTCGCGTACAATACTAAAATAACTCATAATAAAATACATAATGCAACATAGACGTACACGAATACAGTAATAACTACAGATAATATACTCTAACAATAATATTACATATAATACTAGCTGCCCGCCCCGGCTTCGCCCGTGGTACTTTCATGTATTATACATATAAACCTTCCTTAAGAATCACTCTATCTATTAAAAAAAACCGCATCAAAATCCGTTGCGTATAGGGTTGCCAGGCGTCCGGCTTTTTAGGGTCTTGTCCGGCCTGTCCGGCTTTTTATTTGGTTGCCGCGCCAGGCGAAAGTCGAGCCACAGAATCATATGAAGCGCACGCATCAGGAATCAGGATGTTGGTTAGCAACCGATGATGATAGTACTCACTCATGAGCTGACACTAATTGCGCACGCCCCCCCCCCCTGTCACATGTACGGCTTTTAGGATAAAATGTCCGGCCATATGAAACACAAAGTCCGGTTTTTGCCAGAGCCCCGATTACGGTAATTTTTAACGTCTCCAATCCAGACGCGTTTCATCGATTCTGCGATACGATTGGTCAAAACAGCTGACGTACGCTGTTGAACGACCAATCGTATCGCAGAATCGAGAAGCGTGTCTGGATTGGAGACGTTAAAAATTACCGTAATCGGGGCTCTGGCAACCCTAGTTGCGTAGTTTTAAAGATCTAAGCATACATAGGGACAGACAGCGAAAGCGACTTTGTTTTATACTATAAGTCGGCTTCCTTTGTCTTTGGCAATATACATATAATATTATTATTCCCTATTTTTTACTTTTATATTATATTAAATCAATGATTATTGCCAAAGAAAAATAATAAAAGGTGATTCTATAACCAAGTGTTTTAATCATAATATTATAATACCCTATTTTTCTCAAATCTGCAATGTTTTAATTTTGTCAAACTGGTAATGACGTCAATTTTGGGAGAAGGGGGGGGGGGTCATTAAGAAATGACGATAGGATGATTGTAGGGGGGGGGGGGGTCTAAAATCTGAAAAAATCGATGACGTAATTTATGGACGGCCCCTTACTTACTTTGAATTCCACTATCTTACTTTTTGACTTCAACAAACATCAAGTCTGTCAAACTCCATGCAAAAACACCTGTTATAGTTACAGTTAAAGTTAAGGTGAAAAAACTCAGCCTTAGTATAATTTAATAAATTAAGGAAGAGACGATTAAAAGCTTAAAAAAAGGCTTTACGTATAAAATCAATGATTCAGAAGTTCCTATGAAGATGACGTGTTAAATTGATTTGAATAAACATGAACGAATGGCTAACACACAAATCGAATTATCTAACATAATTAATCGAACTTAATTCGATATTAATTAGGTTTGCGATGTTATCAAAGACAACTCCAATAAATCGTTTTATTTTACTTGGTAAAATTGGACATTTTCCCTAATTGTACTTTAAATAAGAACATAGGTACATCAATTTAGTAATAATGAACTGTAGGAACAAAATATCTTTAAACAATAAATTATTACTTTTTTATTACATATTTATTTAGTCCTTAATTGTTTCCGATTTTTCAAATGACGAAAGATTATTTGTTAAACTTTTTTGCGCACGCTTTAAAAAAAGTGTTGTTATGAGTTGCAGTATAGCACACTACACACACTTTTGTTGGAAAATAATACCCTATCACAACTAAGTACATAATTTATTAAGACGTTAGTACAATACCGATTCAGAATACGAACAAAACGCAACGCTTGCGACACTCACGCAATAGCTGGCGTATCAAAACGTAACTATTGGCGGCAAGAACGCAAAAAAAATGGCAGATTGCGCGCGAAATTGCCAAATATTTAATCCTGCTTAATATTTTACGCATCGTTGAAAATATTGCGTTTCACTAACAAATATTATGCCTAAAGTTTTTAAGTTAGAGTTTTGTAATAATGTGCCTTTTTGGAGTTTTATTATGTTACTAGGAGTACAAGAGCTATAATAATTCAGATAAATCTATTTGTCTGTTGACTTTTCACACATTGGCTACCTCCCGAAAGCATGTAACCTCCACTTTGTCTACTTTGGCCATCCTGGTTCTCTACAGAGTGCAAGGGAACGGAAATGCTACATAAAGCGGAAAATGCTTAGGCTTGGTGGCACCATTTCACTTTAACTTTGACAAACGTCAAAAATCTGTCAAACTCCATACAAAATACACCGGTTTTAAATCATTATAGTTACGGTCAAAGTTAGGTGGTGCAACTCAGCCTAAGTTTCATATCACCCGTATTGAGCTTCACTCAGTCAATGCCTGAGGTAGAAAAGCGGCACAGGTGGGTGTTTTTGTGACGTCAAACGTCAGCTAGACTTCAGAGATGCTTCAGATTTGTGCTCTGTCACGTCATAATAATTATGTTAATGTCACCCCTTCCGTGCCGCTCCCAGGCACTGACTGAGAAGCGCTAGGTCTATAAATAAACCACTGGAAAAAGAGACAGGTACCTATATTGATTTTTAACTTGATTGATATTATCTTTTTAAATTCCGCCCACAGACCAAATCGAGGCATTACCAAAATGGCCCGATACCCCAAAAATCAACAATGATTGATTGATCATAGTAATTACTTCAGATCAGGGTCCTTGGCGTAATGGCCGCGGTGCCGTGTCCAATTGTCAGTCATGACATTTCTGGCGGAGGTCACGTTGCAAAACCGTCTAATGAACTAATTCCATTTCTACCTTGAAAGGGGCTAGGTTTTTAGGAATTATATCTTAACCGCATTCAAAGGCTAACCTCTGTTGAACGAGAAATAGGAAGGTATAATTTTAAGTTAACCTTTGAAACTGTTAAAATTTTATTGGAATAAGACACGTACGAAAACTGTCATGTCCAAAGAACACTTAGGAAGAAAAAGGCAAAATACTAATGCTGCAGAAGAATGTAATTGGTAGATTATAATTATTTTTAATGAATCGAGTACAATGTTAGGGGAGACAGAGGTGAGTTGTCACAAAGTCAATTTCTCTACATCTTTAATAGTTAGCGAGCTGACAGTTTCACGCAAACGCAAGTCGAAAGCAGGGAATTCGCGAAGTTTTTGGCTCGATATGTTTATCGACTGTTGCCTTAGGCCCAGTATTTTGATTCGTAGTTAAAATAACCGATAGTCAAATTTGACAGATGTCAAATGACAAATGGTTAAATATCAGAAAAGAATATATTTTCGAACAATGGTTTTAGTACATTTTTAAACTATTAGTTTACATTTTGTTAATATTTAACCATTAGTAGCAAAATTAAACAATTAGTTATTTTAACTAAGGTACTTGATACAAATNCGTCAATTTTGGGAGAAGGGGGGGGGGGGTCTTTAAGAAATGACGATAGGATGTTTGTGGGGGGGGGGGGCTAAAATTTGAAAACAATCGATGACGTAATTTATGGACGGCCCCCAAGATCTTCTTGTTTTTGACAATGATTACATACATCTTGTCAAGAGACGACAATAGCCCAACGGTGCCTGTGTCGGACTGTGAATCAATCAAGATTCAAGTTTCGGGGAAAGCTAGTTGGAATATTGTGGTTAATCCCATCCTACCTAACACAATCATAATTATACTTGGAGGGATCAACAGAGATAGTATTCATTTGTTTATCACAAATTACCTCCATGCACGCGGTGCTCCCGAATTCAAGTCTCAGGTAGGTTCAATCAAGTTTTGTGGTACTTTTAGGTAGGACATGCTTTCATGTTCAAGTTTAATTACACATTGCGTCATACATTTATGGCAACGTATGTCTACGCACCAAGATTGCTAAACCCACCAAGATATTTTCGTTGACTACATTGTAATTTTTTAAAGCAATTGAATAGATAAGGACATAATAGGCGGGTAAGTGTATTAACGTCATATGTATGTTCGATATTTTTACGTAAATCATGATCATGTATCTTAATGTTTAACTGAATTTTGTCAACGCACAATCTCTGCTTTCTTAAAAATATTGTTTTGTAATACATACTATTACTTTTAAATAAGCAATATTGTCATCAGTCATCACATTATTATCATACCAACTATGATGAATATAATAAAATATAGAATATTAATGAACACATAAATTATACTGTAGGTACAATACGAGTGCGTTTTAGTTGTATTTCTATCACACAATAAGATAAGCTAACGTCGTGTTTTAATACCCATCAGATGCATTAATGGATCATTTATAAAAAAAATAGCGGAACAAGCGGTGATTTATTGTTATAATAAAAGTGATAGAGCGCATTGGGTTCTGAAGGGCAAGTTAAATGAGTAAGGGTTATCAAATTGGTGTTTTCCCCTCGGCATGATTTATTATTGAAAGCTATCGCTAACTGTTCTCGGTTTATGACCCTTTATGATATTTACAATAGTTAGCGATATTTTTGCTCTATTTTATGAATTAAAAAAATACTTTCACGTGAGAGCAATATATCATTTACCCTACACCATAAAATGTGTTTTATTATTAGAATCCTATGTTTATCATAATTTGATATCGAAAAAAATGTCGTGACTTAAGTATCGTGTAATCAGTAGCTTTTAATGTAAATCTTATCTGCTGGAAGATTATTTGTTTCATTATAATAACTTTAATGCGAAAATCATTCATTATTCTCGTAATTGTATAATGTATGTATTTCCAAAATAATATTTGAATACAACATTACTTAATGAATGTTAAATTGTGCAACATACCTACTCTACTCGTATTTTTCGTTAACGAAGAGAATTATAAAACAAAACCAATAGCATAAGCTGTATATGGTATGCGGGCTATACTTTGATAAAACGAATGATTTAGCTATAAAAAGATTCAGATTAGGTACATGATGATTCAATGTTAAGGAGTGTCCTTCAAATGTCTTATGACTATTTCAAACAGAATTTGTAGATGATTCAACTTGCATTAAACACCAAAAAGGATGTGCATAGTTTAGCAGCTCTCTTTCTGTCTGCCACCACAACCTCGTCGTTTTTAACATAATATAATATCGAGAAAATGAAAAATACTGAAACTGAGATTTGTAGACAATGAACAAGTGAGCGTTTTTTACGTGCATGGTTGAATTTATAATGTCTTCCGCATTTGCATATTAGTCACTCACGTGACATTTTCTCTTATGTACAGACGATACGGCACATCAAGGTAAACACTAGATTATTATGGTCTCGTCTGTCTTAATTATCGAACTCTTTGTATCGTGTCTTGGTCCATTAGCGATTATTATTACAAAACACTAATTAACATGAACTACCTTTATGCTACTAGGTTTAATACCTTTTTAGTAATTTTTCTCCTGCATAGCACGGAGGTGAGTTGATATTATATTCCGAACTCGTCCTATATTATTTTGATTTGATTCGTTGCGCTTGCAGGTTCTTAGATAGTAAGTCATTTCACGAAACTATTGGACCTTCAGTGGTTGGTTAAATGGTGGTTAAATGACTGATCCTTGCTGTACAGGAGTTGCAGTGCACGGTGGTCCCGCGTCTATGTAACAGCGGTCAAAAGTGTTAATAGACAACTGATTTTTTTACTTTTGACCTCTGCCGGGCCCTGTGTGCAGTGGTGGGAAAGATGTCTCACCAGAAGAGGTGGGCTGTGCCTTGCGCTGCGTGTGCGCTGCTGTGTGGTGCTGCTGAGGGGCGGCGGCGCGCGGGGCGGGGGCGGCGGCGCGCGCGGCGCTGGGCGCGCCCGCCGCTTGCGTCGCGGCCGCGTTACCGCCGCTGTTGCCAGCTGGAGTTGCGTCAAATACTGTTATTAAACTCTAACTCCTTTTCCACTTAAGTCCTCACTGATACTTTTGTTGATGTCACAAAATAATTAAAGTGCCTCGCTAATTAACGGTGTTAGACGTGTGGATAATACAGAGTACTTATGGTGTTGTTCATTTAGAATGAATGTAGAAAACGTGTTTTTAATACAACGTTCATTAGTTGAGAATGGTAGCCAGTAATTTGACATTTGCACTAAGTATTACTTTTGACAATTTTCTATTATAAGCCAAGTGTGACGGCTTCTACGGTTGCACCGATTGGTACGATTCTGTTTTTAATATCAAATTACTGATTGAAATAAGAAAAACATATGGAATTATTTTCACTCGTCACGCAGAACACATGAATACGATCGTGTTAACGAATACAATAGAAGGCTTATTCAATTTCGGTCTTAAGAAGTAAAATTCTAACAATTATAGTAATTGCATTATTGAGACGGAAGTAGTTGGCAAGACCAAATTGAGAAAGCCTTTGAAACTTTATTTACCATATTCGAAGAAGAGAAAGTTACACAGATAATGCTAAATGATTCATGAATAAAGTATAGGATGCTAAAACACCAAGCGTCATATTTACTATACCGATAGCTGTAGTGCCGTTTGTACTAGCCATTGGGATAAGAGCATATTTTGACGGGAGGGTGATCGCTCTATTTTAAATAAGTATGATAAAGCCATGCCGTGCAAGCCATACACGATAACTTGTGGGCTTCCGAATATAGGTCACCAACAGTTTAATGTTGAAACTGTTGGTAATATTGCCAGTATGTACATTGCAAACATTGCCTGAACACACCCCATGCAAAAAAATATTTGACCATTTAAAAATGCTCAGTTGTATAAGTACCCTGACTCTGCCAGGACTCTTCTAGGAAATAATTAGTATCAGCGCGGCCTTCAAGATCACTCTCCATAATGTCGGGTAGATCCGACTCCAAACCTAAACAATATTTAAAAACTGTCACTTTTTGTTAAAGATATATGTAAATGTTGAGTGGCAAATATTTATTATTCAAAATGTCTGTCAGTGTTATAAGTGACTTTCGTTTGAAAGGCCTGGTAGGTACTGCTTAGTAGGCGATAGGTGCAGTACTTGAACAGGTTTTATTAACGACTTTTCCTGCAGCTATGCCTAGAACAGAAATGTCTTGTGCAGGATGGGGAGTGCATAATTGACTTGGCAGATAGTAGGTAATACAAAGTTAGTTTAACTAGGTGTGTTCTGAGTTGGTGACATTTTCTTGACTCTTTGCAAACAATACCTGTAGTAGTTTTTTATGTTCTTCAAATGTGTCGTGTTTTTTTGTGTTCTACAAAAACACAATTTTGCGTCAAAATAAAAGGGAAAACATGAGTTCACTAGTGTCAAATGACAGTAACTTAACGCAATAATACCTTGTTTCGAAACAGCATACAATGGAGTGTGCCTTTGTGTCACTAACTAATGATTCACTAGGTCGAATACGTATTTGTACAAGATTCAGTCACTGAATGGTGATGTTTTTCTACTATTTGTTTAAACCTACCTCTGCGATAATGAAATTGCGAATTACTTATTTGTACATAGTTATAAATAACCGGGACAGACGAAGCAAGAAAAATATTGATAAACAACGTTTTCGCGAATAATATTATTTATGTACTCAAGTGGTTAATAAGTTGATAATGGGATAGTGCGACTCACTTGAAGTGTAGCGCGGGCGCTGCAGGAACGGGTGGTTGAAGAAGGTCTCGAACGGCATGCGCTCGCGCGGGCTGCGCCGCAGCAGCCCGATCAGCAGGCTGCACAGCTCGCCGCTCGTGCCAGACGGCATCCTACAAGTACAACACATCACGCTATTGTCACGCTTATGCTTTACAACTTACAGCCTATTTGGGTGCAGTTTATAATCTTGCGATTGTCAAAGTTTTGGACAATTTATACAGAGTGACAAACAATGACAGAATGTGCTGGTAGAAAATGTTTGGCTATAAGTATGCTTCTGATTTCAAAGGGTTTTAAAAATGTATTATGTAGTTTGGAACTAACAGTGCATTACATTACATCTCATGAGCTCCATTTTCAACTGGCTGAAGATATTAGAAAGAAAAAAGATATTTTTTTATCATTGTGAACAGTGAACATTCGCTTAATAAAATTAAAGGAACTGTAAACCCGAATAATTATAGTTTGAAGAAAGTGAATTGAAAAAGACTGAAGCAACAGTTCTAAAACATGAATAATGGCTTAAATAAACGGGATGTAGTATGAAATTCATCTTGAAATTGATTACTCATAGATACGTTTGAAAACAAATGCCTTTTCTACATAAATACTAATTTTCCAAATAAAAACAATACACATCGGTTCATTCATAGATAAATATTTCGATCATAAAACTTGGATCAGATTGATAAGATTTTATTTTGGTAATCATAATGTTTTTTAAATAAATACCCAGAATTACACGTAAGACAAGAAGATAAGAGTCAACTTGAACCTCCTTGAACATTTTTGATATTATTATGTTAATACAAGGATATTTCAACGACAATAAAAATATAATAAAATAAAACAAAAGCAATATTAAAACACTAAACAAAACATTTTTCGTAGCATTGTGCCCATAATTTATGCAATGACATTCAGGCAAAGTTACGAAATAGGTTTAAGTAGTTATGTATTTACATAGCTGGGCACCGTTAATCAAATAGTTAACTTCGTTAATCGTTAAACCGTTAATAAAAAAATTAACTTCGTTAAACGTTAAAACGTTACATTTAGCAAGATTTAACGCAAGTTAACGTTAATCGTTAATCCGTTAACACATTATAATAAAACGAAAAAAATTATTGTATGCAAGGTTCAAATAATTTCGAAAGCTTGTATCGCGCATGGAATTTATTCCTCTTTTTAGCCAGACAGTTTTGACAGTTCCAACTCCTTGCCAGACAGTTTTTAGGGTTCCGTAGTCTTGACCAGGAATCCTTATAGTTTCGATATGTCTGTCTGTCTGTCTGTCCGAGGTTTTGCTTGGAAACTATTGGCACTAGAGAGCTGTAAGTTTGTAGAGGTATGTATATTGATCACGCCGGCAAAACGGAATAAAATTTTGAGCAAACATTTTTTTAGGGTAGCTCCCGTACATGTAAAGTGGGGATGAATTTTTTTTTTCATATTCTACCCCATCGTGTGGGGTATCGTTGGATAAGTCTTTTAAAATAGTTTAGAGGTTTCTAAGACCATTTTTCGATTTTAAGGGATCCGTTTGCAAAATGTTAAAATTTANTTTGATTTGTATTAATGCGAGTGGATTGCGAAGTAACCGGGGTGTCAAAATGCAACATAGAATGATGTTTTTTATTACAGATTTTACACAAACTTTGAGAACCGCACTTTGAAGTATTGTGACTTGACCCTAGACAATTAACACACAAATGATTTTGTTTCACAAATTGAAATCTATCTTTGATGCTCATTTTCTTAAACTCGGTGCATTCATAAAGACGAAAATGCTGAACCGATTTACAATAAATGCACGTATTTACTTTAGCATTTCCCGATGTGTTGTCATTTGTTATGGCAAAGGTATGAGACACTCTTTTAGTAGTGTTATTATTATTAAAGCGCGGTCGCGGTTGTGTCTGTTGAACCGAAAACGAAGATGTTCGTTCTAAGACTTTAATATGGTGGCGGATGAAATTGATAACATCTGAACTCTCCGGTATGTTTTTGTCACGAATCGATGATTCGAATTGTTGCACAGTTTGTAAGTCTAACTTTTTTAATGCGATATGCGTTATGATGAAGTCAGGTAAATCATCGATATTTAATTGTCTTAGCGCGGCAAAAGATGAGTTAAGGTTTTCTATAAAATCATTTAATTGAGATGGCGAACTGTTTGTTAATTTAATGTCCAAAATGTTATTCAAATACATGGTGCCTAGTGCACGTTTATCTTGATATTTAGTTATTAGAGATTCCCAAATAGTGGGGTAATTGACCTCATTCGGTATTATGCCTGCGAATGTCTTGAGCGCCGAGCCACTCAATTTACCTATCAAATATTGCACTCGGTGCGCGTTGGTCAATGCTTTGTTNTAGAGAGCTGTAAGTTTGTAGAGGTATGTATATTGATCACGCCGGCAAAACGGAATAAAATTTTGAGCAAACATTTTTTTAGGGTAGCTCCCGTACATGTAAAGTGGGGATGAATTTTTTTTTTCATATTCTACCCCATCGTGTGGGGTATCGTTGGATAAGTCTTTTAAAATAGTTTAGAGGTTTCTAAGACCATTTTTCGATTTTAAGGGATCCGTTTGCAAAATGTTAAAATTTAGTGACCATTTTTGTCGGAGTAGGGCGTCCCCCCTCCCTTCCCCCCTCTAAAAACTAAACTGTTGACTTAAAAAATCTGGAAAAAATCATCATAATAGTGCTTTTTATGAACAATTAAAACTATAGCGGTTAAAATACACCAGTTAGTTCAAGAGTAATAGTCGTTTTACTCATGTATTATAAAATTTCATACCTAATAAAAATTCCTTAGAAGAAAATATTAAAAGTGACTTTAGATTAAGTAATTGCTTACTTCTGAAAAACATATATATTGTGGTAACGACGGACAACTACGGAACACTACACTGCGCGTGGCACGACACGCACTTGGCCAATTTTTTTATGATAGCTGCCAAAGCCACGATGACCCAAACTTCATAATCCACCAACATTCTAACCTATATTGGGAGCATACGCTGACAAACTTTCAGCTTTTATAAAATGACGTTGGTCTGGCGTTCACCAGCTCTTAGTCTATAGTATCTCAATCTCAGAGCCTTGGTTCAATTACAATACAATTTAGCACCAATGCGTTCGAAAAGACAAATCCAATAAACCCAAACTCGATAAGTTTCCACGTTTCATTTAGAAGTTCCTATGGCCGCCTCCTGACTCCATCATTAGACCAGCTCAATGGTACCTACCACAACATTACAAAATTGCAGCTCAATCGGTTGAGGGTTGAGGAGAACTGGTCTTAAATTCAGTTGCAAGATTTGTCCCATACATAATAAGAGTACTTAATTATTATTGTTCTATAAGCTTGTAAATAAATAAAAAATAGCATTTTTATATCGTTTCTTTCTGGTTACAAAAACTGTTGTTTTGGGTTCTGGAAGTTCTGGAAGCCCGAACGTACTTGTCAGAACGCTTTTTTCTAGTGTTTTTCAGCATGCCTGCTTTATCTTTTTGGTAAATAGTAGGTACTCGATTAACGATTAACGGACTTAGGATAATTTAACGGAAGTTAACGAGTCCGTTAACATTTTTTAAAGTTAACTTAAAAGTTAATCCGTTAATAGAAATGTTAACTTCGTTAATTAACGATTAACGGATTAACGAGTTAATGCCCAGCTATGTGTATTTAAAACACGGTTACCTATTTTGGTTTGAACAAACGTCAATAGTTCGATAAAGAGATATTTTATTATTACTACTTTAACAGATCTACTTACTTGGGTTGAAGGTCTACGCTGTTTTCGTAGAACGCTTTTAGTTCGTGTGGTGTGGTAGCCTGAAACGGGGCCTTTCCCGTGAGACACTGATACACGATTGTGCCTAAGCTCCACAGGTCCGCCTTGGCGTCATACTTCAGCGACATTATTACTTCAGGTGCCTGCGTACGAAAACATTTATATAAATAAAACATAGAACATTTTAATGTATTCAATTGAGGTGAAAAATAAATAATTCTAAAATATTACCATATACATCGGTGAGCCGCAGAGAGTAACCGCCATGTTCCCTTCTTCGAGGAACCTTGCAAACCCGAAGTCGGCTGCACGGAAAGAAACGCATGATAAATACATAAATTATGTAAATGTGGAGTAACACTGTGGGTATATTATTATGGATCCGCAGGCAAACATAACCCGTCATTTACTTTTATGCTTCCTCTGAAAAGTTACTTAATTTAATAATTACTGCATAAACTGCATTAATAAACCAAAAGGTTGATTATCATAATAGCATTTATAGTAATAATACAAGTAGGTACTCATTGCCACATTGGGACGTGTAAGTATTATGAACAGTTATCAATGTATTCTACACTCGCGAGCAAAAGTATGGAATCACTTACATGAAGTTGTTTCCACGCGATCTTGTGTACTAACGAATTTGTTAGTAACTAAAAAAGTAGCACCATTTTAAAGATTAAACTTTTAACTTTAAATTGATACCAAATTCATTTAAATCACACCGGTATTTAAAAAGATATCCCGGCTGATGTGAAGAAGTAGGGAAAAAGACATGTATCAACTGTTTGATACGTCGCGAGTTGCGGCCTATTTACCCCCCATAAAAGCAAGTGTTTTCGGATTTTTGCTTTCACACGTTGATCCATACACATCTCCGCTTCTTTTGACACTTTACCTGGGATTCTACACCTTCAGAAGCAGCACAAATCATTGCACTATTGCAAGAAGGGCTAAGCCAGCGGGCTGTAGCACGTCAGCTCCACATAAGCCAGTCCTGGGTTTCAAAAGTTTTAAGACGCTTTCGAGAGACTGGTGGCTTTATCCCGAGACCAAGTTCTGAACATTGCCGGTGCACATCGCAGAGGGAAAACCGTTTTTTCATGTCAACTTCTCTACGAAATCGTCATTTGACTGGTATCGACGTCCAGCAAGAGCTCAGAAATGTTCGTAGGATAGCTGTTAGCGAGTGGACAGTTCGTCTAAGATATGAGCAATAAAATTTGACTCCAAAAAGGCCTGCCACAGGCTGGAAACTGACGGCAGGTCGCCGACAAGCACGCTTTCAATTAGCTCGCACTCGGAAGGCGAGTAATGGAGGCGAGTTTTGTTCTCCGATGAATGCAGACTGTTTTTGCAGTGCAGCAGTCGAAGAGGTCGGGTCTATAGACGGCCTGGGGAGCGATTTGTGCAGTCCTGGTTCGCTAAAACATTGGCTTATGGGGGTGGCTTGCTCGACTTCCCATCGAGATGTGTAGGAGCAAATTTAAAGCGTGCTTATCGGTGACCTGCCGTCAGTTTCAAGCCTGTGGCAGGCCTTTTTGGAGTCAAATTCTATTGTTTATATCTTAGACGAACTGTCCACTTGCTAATAGCTATCCTACGAACATTTCTGAGCTCTTGCTGGACGTCGATACCAGTCAAATGACGATTTCGTAGAGAAGTTGACATGAAAAAACGGTTTTCCCTCTGCGATGTGCACCGGCAATGTTCAGAACTTTGTCTCGGGATAAAGCCACCAGTCTCCCGAAAACGTCTTAAAACTTTCGAAACCCAGGACTGGCTTATGTGGAGCTGACGTGCGACAGCCCTCTGGCTGAGCCCTTCTTGCAATAGTGCAATGATTTGTGCTGCTTCTGAAGGTGTAGAATCCCAGGTAAAGTGTCAAAAGAAGCGGAGATGTGTATGGATCAACGTGTGAAAGCAAAAATCCGAAAACACTTGCTTTTATGGGGGGTAAATAGGCCGCAACTCGCGACGTATCAAACAGTTGATACATGTCTTTTTCCCTACTTCTTTACATCAGCCGGGATATCTTTTTAAATACCGGTGTGATTTAAATGAATTTGGTATCAATTTAAATTTAAAAGTTTAATCTTTAAAATGGTGCTACTTTTTTTGTTATTATCAAATTGGTTTGTACACAAGATCGCGTGGAAACAACTTCATGTAAGTGATTCCATACTTTTGCTCGCAAGTGTAGTTGAATAATTTGTTTTGATAGTTGTTGATAAGCAATTTTGTCACATTTATATGAAATTATATAAACCAGTTTTAGAATTAGATAAATCGAGTTAAACATTAGCGTTAACGATGGAGACAGAACAACAATATGTCTACTAGACTGATGTTAATTTTAATTTATTTATAAACAATATTATTTGTCTACCTAACTGAAAGGGCCAAGTTAGTTTATTTTAATTCAGTTGCAGGTGAAAGAGAAAAGGCTATGGTGGTGTCTTAAAAGCCAGTGCTCATCAGTGCTGAATTAGTGTAGTGAACATGATACTATTGAATACATAAGAACATTGAGATGAATACGTTTAACATGAACGAGTAGAGACTCACCAATTTTGAGTGTCATTTCGGCAGGATGAGGGGTGCGCGGCGGGGCCACATTGTGTGTGAGTAAGATGTTCTGTGGCTTGAGGTCGCGGTGCACGATCCCCTTAGCATGGATGGCGCGCATGGCCTCAGCCAGCTGTCGAAGGAAGAGCCTGATGGTCCCCTCGCTGAGCAGCCTGTTGGTCTGAAGGTAGTCAGCCAAGTCGCCGCCGTTGCAGTACTAAAACAATACAAAGGCTCTCTTGAATCCATTGCTCTCCACTAAAGAAGATAGACCTACCTGTTACAATTGTTTTACAGAACATCTACGTAATCTATAAATATAAAGTGAACGAAGTTTTTGTATCCGGATATATTTGTAGATAACATGACCGTGGAATCGCCTTCTTTACTGTTTTGTGGAAACAAACGTCAATAAATAAGACAAGATAAAAGACTGTGTGAACTAAATTTTGCTCAGATAATTCCGTGAAGCGTGTAGTGTTTATTCTGGTAGATGATGATTATCCTATACTACGTATACCTTAAATGTAGGAAAGTAACAATTTTTTAATAATAGCAACACGTTAGCATCGGAGGTATTCTCAAAGTCAAACGTTTGGCGTCGGCGGGGCGCGATTGGACGTAATGTGATTTACACAGGTTTTGTATACGCGATTTTCAGTACAGAATTAGTGTCTTGCGTAAACAAACACAATCGACAGCTGTGATCAGATAGAACTCACCAACATGCTTTTTCATTGTACTAGCATAATATTGTAGTGTAATAAATTGTGTGTATAAGTAGGTGCACATCCGTGTTTCACAAGGTGTTATTGAAAATAGAACGTCCTATATTTTCATTTATGCAGAGTTTGTTATCATCGGACTTGATTCGCGATAAGCTACGCCATGCCGCTAGTAATCTTATCAATGAGTGATAACAGTTATAAGTGTCAGTGAGTTATGTGCTCTTCGCATCGTTGGTACTTGTGCCACGACAGGTAACAGCTCCTGTGATCAGTTGGCACGTCTTACAATACTGTTTGCTTTAGTGAGTGACCATGACTCCGAAACATCTATGCCTATTGTTACTGGCTCTTGTTGGGTAAGTATCAAATTTCCTCATTTAAATTATACACTATCATTCTATAACCTAAAAATGTAAGAAGAACGAGGATTCACGACTAGGATATTGATGCAAATAGTTATATTACTTTGTTATACAAAAATAAATGACCCGACTGAAATACTGTGTATTTGCTGAAAAAAAATCTAAAGTAAAAAAGCTTTAAGGCATCTCTTGTAGATTAAATTAAACAATATGGTGTGCTTTTAATCACGTAACTGCTAAATTACTTACATACAATTTAAAATGATTTAATTTGAAATATTAAATTATACTTTGATTTTAAAGAAAATTCGGGTTACGCCCTTGTAGTTATCGCAATTTTTTATCTTTTACCTATAACAAATTTTACGTCATTGTGCCAATGATAATGTACATATCGATATTGTCACGTGTTTTAAATGCATGAAAAACCTTTTCAGAGTTTGCTTTGTCACAGCTCAAAGTGAAGATGAGCTACAAATTCCGGTAGAAAATGACAACCAGTTCCCACCCGACAACCATTCTGACGTTATAGAAGGTAGCGGAGATGGGGTCATTGAAGAACCAGACGAGTCTGTCGGACAAACCACTGAAGCTGTCCCACCGCCCATAGAACACATTGAACCAAAAACATTCCTAGACGAATTAGGAGCTGCAGCACCATCCGAAGGAGAAGATCTTTGTCCGCAGCCGTGCGTGTGTCACGTTGAGGGATCTTCCACAGATTTTATCGTCGATTGTTCTGGTTATGAATTAACCGAATTTCCGACCCCAATCAGCGAGAAAACTACCATACTCAATGTGCAAAAGAACAAATTAACAGAAATACCTAAGTCAATATCAACGTTGAAAAACTTAAAGGTTTTAAATGCTAACGACAATAGCATTATGAGTGTGGATTCAGGTGTAAGTTTACATTAACATTACAATAGTTATTTCCTGAAAGTACATCAAACAAATTCAACAATGCATATAAAAATATCGTTAACCTATCGAGACGTGACCCTAACTGCATTTTAAAATGTTTATTTTTCAGTCTGTCAGCGAGCTTCCGGCCTTAGTCACACTGAAACTAGGAAACAACAGACTGATTGACTACCCTAGTGACCTGAAGAACAGCTTTGGATTAATCAAACTGGAGGAACTTGATTTAGGAGGCAATGACATGAGAACGGTAATGGATCACAACTCTTATTTTTCACTTTAACCCGGTAGTTGTCAGTCGCATAAATATTTGTTTATTTACTTATTATTTTCAAAAAATCTACAAAATCTCACTAAAACACATTGTTATACTTATACATATAAATTGATATTGTGCTGTGTACTATCCTTATATAAATAAACTAGCTGACCCGGCGAAAGTAAGGTTCAATAATAAGCAAATGACCTCCTCTATACGCGTATTAGCTATGGCGGGTTTAGTTCCAGTCACCCTGTATAGATAAAAGGTGACTCACATAACCTTTGTTATGTTGCAAAAAAATGAAAAGATACAAATGGTTTAGTTATATTTGTAAGCTTGATTATTAGAAATTATTATGACATGAAGAAATAGTGACTATTCTCGAGTAGGTTTAGGTTCACGCTTCTTATAACTAGAGCTTATTTTTTTAACTAATTTATTGTTAAATATTGAAGTTTTTAAAATAAACAATGACGAAGAAATGTATTATTCATAAACTTTCTTTATTAATTTTCAGCCATTAACATCGGACCAATTTTCTAAGTTTGAATCACTACGAAAACTAATACTACCAATATCTACTCCGGAGCTACCCCAAGATTTATGTGATGCATTACCGAAAACTTTGGAAACAGTATGCACTGGAACATGTGACTCTGAGGTGTTTGAATGCCGCGACGAGGAAAACGATATGACGGATGATGAGCTGCCTGTACTGCCAGGTGCTTTATTGCTGCCTACTGAAAGCGAAGAAAATGCTGATCCAGTTGTAAACACTCCTGAAGTAAATACTGAAACAAATGATAACACTAACAGTAAAACAAATGTTTCCCCGGCAGACACCGAAGGTAAAACTGTTGCACCTGTAGAATTTTCTTTCCGATCTGCAATTAACAAACAACCTAGTGATGAGATAGCACCATTCAATTCTATTGTCGAGGCACCTAAAGATATTTCGAGCTCTACTGAAGAACCAGTAAAATATGGTGCTACAACCATAGCTACAAAGACTGGAGGCGTAGACAAAAGTATTATTGGTTTAGTGGTCGCTGGGATGGTGGTAATAGTGGCTGGAATAACAATTAAAAAGAATTGGAGCTCTATTAAAAAACGTTTTAGCTCTAACAACCCAACACCCAACGAACGCAATGGAATTAATGCAAATGGTACACCTGAAGAAGTACCCCTACAGGATAAATCACCTGTTTAAATAATCAAGGTATAATAAAGTTATTTATACAATATTAATGTGCCAATGACTCGATGAGGAGTAGTTTTGATCTGAGAGATATAGTTTTTTCCACAAAAGTATATTTTCTGAAGGATGTTCATGAATGTTAACTGCATATTACATAAACCTTGGGCACATAATTTGTTAAAGTTAAGTTATAACAAGAAGAAAATGTTTCGATAAAATAAATTAGACAATAGGCTAATGGAAGGTTTTACAAAAACATTTATACATTTTTTTTACTCTAGTTTTATAAATTGTATTGTATAAAAATAAGTTTGTTATTTGGATTAAGAAAAAATATTTATTATGTTTGTTAGTGTGGAATATTTTGGTATTACAAGTAATACAAATACTTATTGTTAGTTATTGTTGTGATAATTATGTACGTAATACCTGAATCAGGCGAAAAAAGTTCGTAATAAATTTTTAATGTCTCGTTAATTAAAATTGAATAATAATCTAGTTAGTTACATAGTTGTACAATATTCAGATGTAGCCACAAATCAAATTAAAATGACTTGTTTTTAAATTTCTTTACTAGTGATTTTTATACAGAAACTTGTGTTATATAAATAGATGCATTAATTTGTTTATTGTTACTGTAATAAAGTAATATAATAGGTATCTTAATATTTTTATTTGTTCCATCTTTTTGTTAACATTTAAAGGAACTGTTGACAAGTGGAAACCTAAACGCTTTCCTAATTCATATGCAAAAGTTCAGCATTATTTTATAGTATTTAAGGCATTGCATAAAAAAAGTAAATTAATTTGACGAATCGTCTAAAAATTATCAAATAATTTAAATGTACCGTAGGCGTAATGCAACCAGATAATAAAATAGTTAAGTAGTAAAAAGTTTGCTGCGGTTAAATCAAAACAGTTACTAGTAGGTAATTCTAATTATTAATTAGTAACTTTGTAATCATAAATTGTGCAAGATCTGGTTCGAAAGTTGAACTAGCCATAAACAATGTAGCGTTTTTCTACTTGTACACCTAAAGAAGTACTCCTGAAAACGCGTTCTGCTTTGGCCTTTGACATTTAAAGCATGCATGCACCAGCTAGCATAAACGCATTTCCGTCACAAAAAAGGTTAACAAAAAGTTAATAAGAAGGCGCAAGCGGATATTGTACGTAGATACGGTTGGGTGGGTACCTGACCTATGCCGCGCTATCCCGTTAGGTGACACACAGTGACTCTGTCTTACAGCGATGAATTGCTTCCATCCATGACTTGAATCTCTTTTATCTTCGTAAGTTTATTTTTTACGTACATGCATCTCGTTTTGCGGTCGTTGCTCTCACAGCAACTGCGTAGCATATACGTATATTTTACATACAAACAAATGACGCCTTAATATACTCCTACTATGTAGTGCTTATCCAGTACGTCGGTAAAGTACTACCTACACTGATACCAAATATAACTACATATATTCCACTTGTTCGCCTTTTGATCAACGACACGTGTGATATGAGATGACTCAAGTGCAGTGACCTGGTTTCATTTATAACTTTGCGATTGTTCTGGAGATTCATTGACCTTATTTCGCTTGAGCTTTCATCAATCGATTCACAAAACATCTGTGCCATACATAAAAGAAAACGCTATTTAGCGTTTTCTTAGATATCCATTGCCAGCTTTACAAGGAGAGCGCTAATGAGATCTTTGTCACATGTGACCAGCTCTACAAAGAGGTAGATATAATATTTCCGTGATAAAAGTTAATGTGTCAATACTGTATCCAAAGTACCCAGTTGCCTATCTTGTTTACCTGTATGTATTATCTTCCTACGTAGGTCAAATTGTTTTGTAAAGCTTTATTAATCTAAGTTTGTAAAGCTATTGTTAGCAAATAACATATCTGGTATGTTAAAGGTATGACCAGTGGAAAACAAAATAAACGTATGTACTTAGTTTCATTAGTCGCATAATAATGAGTTGCATGAAATGATTGGATATGATGATTCACAACAGAATATTGTTGTTGAAAAGGGTGACACTCAAGTAAATATGTACCTACACATTTGATAGATAGGTAAATTGTTACAATCTATTCAAACCAACTAGCATAAATACTGAAAAACGAGAGTAAAATCGAAATGCGTATCCATGGCAATATAATTTGAAAAGCATTAAGCGTGCGGATAGAAAGCTGTTTCCGCCACCACTTTCCAGCTCCGGGGCGCGGGCGCAGCGCGACTCTAGCCCGGGAGAAACCAGTCTGCCTGACGCAATCACGCACGCCGATTAGTCTATCTGGCGACGCTCGTGTCATCTTCACACACTTTCTTGAAACGTATCTCGATTTATTTCACGACTCTATTATCATAGCCATACATTGTGAATTTGCGATGTATTGTCTGTAATACACATGGAGATTTGAGGTCTTTAATGAATGCCATGAAATAAATGCATCGACTGTACTGTGTTACCGTTATGGAACTGACTCGGTCTGACGACTGCCGTTACCCATTAATGGTATTAGTACGCAGGCATACTTTCTTACATAAAAAGTGCAGGCATCAGAAGATTAGAAACCGTTGTTTGCACGATATGTATGTAAATTTCCACTGCATTGTTATTAAAATATTCCGGCTACATTATAGCGTTTAGTTCATATGTCTATAATGAATATGCGCTTTATGATTCTCATAAATGTTGTTGCTGAGTATTTCTCCAAAAAAATGTACGTAACGAAACGGTAGTAACGAAATAGTAAGGCCATAAGGCTTGTTATACATTGGCGAAATATTGTGAATGCTCTTCATTTATTCAATTCGAAATATTTGTAAGTATGCACCCAAATACGGGGTAATATTAAGGGGTTAGAAATAAAATAAGGGAGTAATCATTCATACTATTTTAATAAAATTATTTTTGTTCCATCATGTTTATCCATTTTGAGTCGTTCTCTGTAAGCTTTTTGCCTTTCGGCATTGGTTTTTGGCGGCATTCCTAAAAAAACAAAAGAAGTAATCACATAAAAACGTAATCTAAATGATTTGCTAATTTTTTGCTGGTGGCACTTCTGTAAAGCAGATAGTATCCAATCCTTTTGTTATTAACGCTCTATATTTTTTGAAATAAATTAAGTAGTGAATATTACTATGCTTAGTCAGGTAATAACAGTATACACTCAGCATTATGTTGTACTTTTTCGTAACGTAACGAAATTCGTAAAAAACGTAACGAAATATTAGACAAAATGAGATCAGAAACAAGTATTTTTTTGATAAAATTTGTTACAGCAAATATAAAAGCTTACTAAATGTTCGTACCACACGTATTACAAAAAATGGTTAAATGAAGACTTACCGTTCTATATAAAATCGCTGATTTTACTGCCTGTTACGAAAAAGTAATCCCACAAAACACACACGTTTTCACTAATTTTCGCGATAGATGTTATGGCGGAGACGTCAGGCCAACAGCCATTCAGAGTGCAGCTATTGTTGTCCGTGTAAAATAAATACGGAATTGTTCAGAAACCATGGGAAAGTAGAAATAAATCGTAACTAAAGAGTAAATAACGAAATAGTAAATGAGAGCGACTCATTTTGTTTTTTTGCTTTAAATTGCCAATTCATTATGACACCCCATAGAAAATCAATTTGATACAGAAACTGCGATTACTGTAGAACGATAATACTAAGAAATTTACAATAATTTAGTTATGTATCGCATTTTATGAAACAAAAATACATGAAAAAGCTAGGGTGGCAAACAGGTTTTTGTATGAAAGGTAAAAAAGGACTATTTTTAAAATATCTAAATATTTGGTAATAAGTAGGATTATAGCTATAATTCTTCGTTATCTTAAAGATTAATATTCATCCTTCAAAATTGTGTGTGTGTTTTTTTTGTGTGATGATTTATAAATATAAAACTTTTGAACTGTTTCAAAGCACACTTTTTTTTTTCAAAATGTACATTTTTTTTGAGAAATACTCTGCTACGTTCAAAACTAGTGTTTTTAAATTAAATCGGTTCATTAAAAACGTATTAAGTAAGACTGATAAAACTGTATCAAGCGATATTAAACAGCAGCAGAATCCATCATTTAATTGGTTTTAATACAGGTACTTTTATTGAAATCCCTGAAACATCATCATATCCGCTTATTTATTAAAATGGGAAATTCATTGACTAATCCAGTTACGCATTTAACAGGAAGCCATGTTAACTAAACTAACTATAGTCTGTATAAACGTAGAATCGTCCATCCACGTGCGAGAGAGCCGCGTAGGGCCCCGAGAGCGCTCCACGCAGATCACTAATGCGCCCACGAGGTCACCAGCTGACTCTATCTGCTCGTGTCCCACCCAACTACTATACTATAGCATAATTTACCGACTAGGTAGGTACACTGATATCTCTAAAATATTACATCATCCAATTAAATGCACGCTGCAATTCTTTTTAGATATATGTGGGACGTGGGTGCTGTGCTTAGGTTATAATTTACATATTTATCTGCCCCTAAATAAATGTAAACTTTACAGTAACGCATGCGATAATTCTGATGTTAATTGAATTACTATTCATAATGCAAATAATACATTTTAAAATAGAACTGTGTCCAATACATGGGCAAGTCCTGCAATGCAGCGCACTGTTTAGACAATGCACTCACTCAAATAAGCTCATGTCAATCCAATTTATACATGATACCCTGAATGATAGGGGTCGTTGTAGTCGATCCGCGTTTTTAATCTGTTTAGCAAAATTATAGTGTTTTTTAATAAAGTCTTTTTTTTATAAGAAAAGAATAAAAGGCATTGTTTTTTAATTTTAGATTAACTGTTATGAGTAGTAGGTATTAAATGACTAACAAGGTATCATAGATCAGAATCAAGTTTTCATTAATTATAAATTATTTTACTAATTTTATTGAACTAATTAGGTAAGTTATGCATTTTCTTAAATGAAAACGTCGATAACAATTAAATCATTTATTTGAAAATTAATGTACCTAATGACTTCGTAGCCGTCGTGTTCATGTAATAAATACACTCAGCGGCACGGAATTTGGCCCAAGCCTAAACAACCAGATATGAGGCCAAATAGGTGTTGTATACCTAAGTTTCATGTGACATGTTAACAGAACATTTGTTTTTGTTAATTTAAGAGCCTAGATTCTTAAAAAAAATGCGTCTGTTTAACTTTTTTGACTCTAGAAACGCATTTCGTTGTCGGAGCGCAAAGAGTACGGGTAAGTTTAAATTC